GTGACTACGTTCCGACATACAGTGGAACCATGGAAAATGACCATAGCCATCCTCTAACAGGAAATCAAATCACAGCAGCAAAAACAAAGAAATCTTGAAGATGAAGATTTGGAGGAGGCTGAGATCAATAGAAGGTACATCTGTAAGTTAAGAACAGATACTTGAATAGAATTTCTTTCTAAACCAGAGTTCAGTGTCACTTTAAAGTGGCCATGCACTAAGATTCCTATATCCATATACAAACCAGGTGAATGGCGGAATTTACCCACTGGAACATTGTATTCTGACAGCATTTTCCCTATGACAAAAGTCAAACGATCGACTTCTACCAATTGGGGACAGCCCCACACACAGATCAAAATTCGACTGGTTGCTGCTGAACTAGTGAAAATCCAAAATCTGCGTATGGCCAGCATTAGTTTAACCTCCCTGGCGGTATTCCCGAGTGTAGCTCGGGGTAAAATTTCAGTACCACAAGCGGTATCCCCGAGCTACACTCGGGCTTACCATGCGGCCTTGCTCAGGGATTCCCTGCAGCGCTGATCTTGTCCTTCGCTCCGGCGATGTGTCCCCTGCAGCGTCCCCGGCCATCTCCTCCGGCCGATGCCGGCATCCGGCTTCCGTGTTCCGGTCCCTGCGAGCGTCGGGACATACGGGGGGCCAGAACCGGCGGCAAATGTAAACATTTTAGAAACTGTCATTTTCTAATAAACGAAAATGACATAGTACAACATTGCTGTTGCAAACCATTTCACATACATTTTGTCCCGAGTGCTTTGTCCTGCGCCCTGCCTGCATTTTGACTGTTCTGTCTGGAAACTTAGAAAAGTCCATGGCGTCCAAAAAGCGTCACTTTAGGTCAAAAGCGGTTTTACACCAGCTAGAGAACAGCGATAGTAAATCAGAACCACTTGCAGAATGGAGTGATAATGATTCGTGGGGAAATTTATCAGACACTGAAAACAATTTTGCGACTTTGCTCAGTGATGTGCGAACTTGGCTCTATATTTCAAATTTCAGTGTTTTTGGTTTGATTATTGAATTAAATTTATATTATTTTTTATGATTATTTATTAAATTATAATTTATGATTTCGGGTTTCAAGTTTTATCATATCCGGAATGTTTACTAGACTCTTGTTCGGACAGATTTCAGTGAGTTATTCCTAAAAATTACAGTCTACAATACAAAAACGCCAAATTTCCATGCAAAATAATGGTACCGCTTTCAGCACCAAAAATCTGAACTAATCATACCGCCAGGGAGGTTAAGCACGTCAATAAAACCTGATATACAAAGAACACAAAACAAAAAAAGTCAACCCAACAAGGTAAATAAAAATCGCCAGAGGATATTATAATGGAAATTTTTTGAAGACAAACATCTACGTACAGTGCTATATTTGTTACTGAGTCATGTGACTTGTTTATGATAATATATTCCAACTTTCTTGCCATTTCATCATGCACTGGTGTAACATAAAGTAATAAGCTCAAATCCCACAAGGACACAGCAAGGTGGCAAACAAAGGAGGAGATCCATGAACGTCAATAGTGTGCTCTGCTGGGTAGATGCCCTCCACATCGGCTTAGCCAAACAGTCAAGATTAATAAAACAGAAAAAAAAAAAAAAAAAAAAAAACCACAAACACAAAAACACAGCAGCAAAAAAAAAAAAAAAAACCTCCACAACAACCTCATGTTAAATTGATGCAATCAGTAGTACAAAGGGACTTCATCTATTTACAAATATAGGTGATGCTATGCCAAGATACTGCTGCATAATGTGGTCCCAAAATAAAAAACAGAGGCAACCGATCCAGAGGTCCCACCATGCAAATTACAGGACTTCAAGAATCTGCTGACGGCTTGGTGCCAGACACCACAGCATATCTTCAGAGGTCTAGCGGAGTCCATGCCTCAATGGGTCAGGGGGCTGCTTTAGCGGCAGAAGGAGGTCCTGCTCAATATTAGGGGGGTGGTCATAAAGTTATGGCTGAATGGTATATCACTAATTTCATCCTTACAAGGGCCCTTTCACACCGCGCCGTTGAAAAATTGTGGCTAAAACAGTGTTTTATGGACTCTTGACCGGAAACATGACATGTGACTCAAAAAACTCCCCAAGGGTGCATTTTTGATGCATTTTCCCATGCAATTCAATGGGGAGATGAGTTTTTGGTGCAGTTTAAAACTTGTTAAAAAATTTCAGCATGCAGGACGTTTGAAAAACGCATTGCACCCACATCACTCTGGTGTGAAACCATTCCATAGGATTAAAGGGATACATTTTTCATGCATATTTTTTGTTACCCCAAAAACACATGAAAAAACAGGTAAGTGAGAAAGGGCCATACTCCACTTGATGAGAATATAAAACAAATCCCCTCTGAGTGATCGGTGTATATTGGAAGGATTTTAACAAAGTTACTTGCAGTTTGAAAAGGAAGAGTAATATTTAATAAATCACAATATGGTTTGTGTTGCAATTGTACATGCTATATTTGTTTTCCACAAAAGTAGAGTTACCCTTTAATTATATTGTAAAGCGCTGAGCAAACTGTTGGCGCTATATAAATCCTGTATAATAATATAATCAATGTAAATTTTAAAAGTAATTTCTGTATTCTTTAATCTGCAGTTTTCATTAAGAGAACCTGCCTTGAAGGTGCTTGAAAAGACACTTCTTGTTTTATCGTAACAACACTCTGCCCATCTCCCAAATGTGCTCCTGCATGGTCACCCTGGGCTTTAGCAAATGAATGTGATACAATTCGGGTATAGGAGTCAACCTATCCCAAACTGGTATTTTAGTTCTAGATCAATGCTGACAGACTATTTAAAGCGGATTCCCAGCTTTTAGTGAAGTTTAAACCGTTTGTGTGGAGCAGGCTGGTGCAAACAAACTATTACCGTCACCAACAGATTCCAGCAGCTGGGAGATCTGTATAAACTGTATGTAGTCTCAGCTACACACAGTACACTAAAAGCTGGAGATCAACTTCAATACAGAGAGTCCAATAAGGAGACCTCTCCAAGAGTTCCGAGCTTCATGCTGGTGTTGCAAGGTTCCCACTGCAAGTGTGAAATTCTACAGGTAGGACCAGGGGGCGGACTGACAACTCATGGGGCCCTCAGGCAACAGGGGGATCACGGGGCCCCTGTGTCCTTGCCCAAACTCAAAAAAGCCTATGAAAAAAAAAAAAAAGTACCAGGGGCATCTCATGGGGCCCCATACTGACCCCGGGCCCTCAGGCAGTGCCCGAGTTTCCAAATGGTCAGTCCACCCCTGGGTAGCACACAGCCTACCTTTGCGATGACTGTAGCAGGTTAAATGTCCTGGGAGACCACCGACATATACAGTACCTGGGCAGCTATTAGAAGCTGGAAGGTATTTCAACTGGAACGGAAGTCACACAACAGAGAAATTCCAGCTGACAGCAATGTACGGCACGAGCCTCAAGCCTCACACACACTAAGTTTATTTTCGTTCAGAAGCGACAGATCGCTGTACTAACACCACTTTTGCTAGTACAGCGATCTCCCCTGCTGTGTTACTGTGTTCTGATAGGGGGACGGGGACGGGGGACGGGGACGGGGACTGCCCCCCCCCCCCCCTCGCCAGAACACACAGGTCTTCAGAAGCCAATTGGTAGACCTTTTTCAGTCAAGCCCCTTCGACAGAAGCCCAAACGACCTGGCTGCCGTACACAGGGGCCGAATGTTGGCCAGCTTCAGTTGAACCGGCCAATATCACCCAATATTCAGCCCGGGTGTACATAACTTTCGCTTAAATGTACCATAATCCAATTAAATACGTAAAAATTTAAATGATAAATTACTTCACTAGGAATCCTTTCACACTGGTGGTTTTGCTGCACTAGAAAGCACCTTTAAAAGTGCATCAAAATGATTCCCCTTTAAATCCTATGTGACTTTTCACATCAACGTGCGGAGTTTACATTATGCTTTGAAAAGTCCAGCATGCTTTAAATTAAAGGTGCATCTTTGGTGCACTTTTTAAAAGTAGAACTAAAAGGCAAAACTTTTATTTTAAGTTTTGGATAGAGTAGAGAGGGATTAGAATGCTTATCAGTTATGGACGTCCATGCCACTTTCAATGAGATTATTAAAGAAAAAAAAAAAACAAAATTTGGGTTGTCCTAAGAAAAGTAATAGAGGGGAGATCTTCTAATGGGGACACTAGTTCTGGTGGCTTGGGGGTTCCCAAGAAATTGACTTAATTTGCAAGGATTTCCTCTTGTTTGGCTAAGGGACTGGAAGGGAAATCTCTGAAATGAAGGGACACAGATGGCGAAAAAAAAAATCTGACAGGAGTTATAACCCGCCCTTCCTATATCCCAAAATGAAAAAAAAAAAAAAAAAAACCTAGCGGATAGTTCAACTTTAAGTTAATGGAAGATGTACCCAGGGTGCATTTTTTGGGTTATGTGGTAAAAAGATGATGATCGTTAAGGAGTGAACATCCACCGGTGTCCTTAAATCAGTGAATAACTGATAGTGAAAGAGCCTTAACCTCCCTGGCGGTATGATTAGTTCAGATTTTTTGTGCTGAAAGCGGTACCATTATTTTGCATGGAAAATATGTATTTTTTTTTATTGTAGGCTGTAATTTTTAGGAATAACTCACTGAAATCTGTCCGAACAAGAGTCTAGTAAACATCCCGGGTATGGTAAAATTTGAAATAAAATTATAATTTAATAAATAATCATAAAAAAAATATTATAATACTACATTTAATTCAATAATATAATCAAACCGAAAACACTGAAATTTGAAATATAGCGCCAAGTTCGCACATCACTGAGCAAAGTCGCAAAATTGTTTTCAGTGTCTGATGAGGAATTCCCCCACGAATCATTATCACTCAATTCTGCAAGTGGTTCTGATTTACTATGTCTGTTCTCTAGCTGGTCTAAAACCGCTTTTGAGCTAAAGGGACGCTTTTTGGACGCCATGGACTTTTCTCAGTTTCCAGGCAGAAAGAACAGTCAAAATGCAGGCAGGGCGCAGGACAAAGCACTCGGGACAAAATGTATGTGACATGGGTTGAAACAGCAATGTTTTACTATGAAAAATTTGTTTTGAGAAAAAAAAAAAAACAGACTTTTTTTAAATTTTCAAATTTCCCGCCGCCGGCGTCACTCTTACGTCCCGACGTCACAGGGACCAGAACACAGAAGCCGGATGCTGGAGGAGATGGCTGGGGACGCTGCAGGGGGACACATCGCGGGAGCGAAGGACAAGGTAAGCTCTGCAGGGACTCCCTATGCAACGCCGCATGGTAAGCCCGAGTGTAGCTCAGGGTTACCGCTTTTGGTACTGAAACTTTACCCCGAGCTACACTCGGGAATACCGCCAGGGAGGTTAAACAATAGAGATCGAGATATACATACATACATACATATACACACTGGGCCCCTGCAGTCCACACCCCCTCCTCCATTGGGGGTCACCATGCTCCAGATTCTCTCTTTGCTTCCTTCCTGTGGAGTCTGCCCCCCCCCCCCCCTTCTCAGAGCCAAAACTCCCAACTGTCCCACACAGTGTTTCCGGCTCCCCCCACTGCTCTGGCACAAGACACTGAGCAGAAAGGAGCTGGATCATGCTTACCCCCACAGAGGTATGGGGGGGGGGACCTAAGGGGTTAATCCTCTGCATTGTGTAAAAAGCCTGTTTGATCCTGACTTCTCTGCCCCTCCTCTTATACAAATGTCCATACTGATAAGATAGACAGAACCCGTAGCCCTTCTGCACATGCTCAGTTTAGTGTGTATTACCAGAGGTTTTTTTTTTTTTTTTCTTTGGAGAGTGCATGTGATCAGCACAGGGCCAATCAGCACAGTCCACACAGAGATCAGGAGTTCTGCATCCTCCTAGAGCAGAAAGAAAACTCCTCCTACAAGCTTTAACGTGCTCTGCTGGATACTGATAGAAGTCAGAAGACTGCTCGAACTGCTGATAACAGGTATTTAGCAGTTTATATTTACTAAAATAATAGCAATTCCATGTTCTCTGAGAGACCAGATATAGTGAATGCAGGGTCCTGGGTTTAGGAACGCTTTAATTGTACAGTAGAGGACTTGCGAAAGTGCATATGATCAGCACAGGGCCAATCAGCACTGTCCAGACAGAGGTCAGGGGTTCTGCATCCTCCTAGAGCAGAAAGAAAACTGCTCCTACAAGCTTTAACCAATGCTCAGCTGAAGTCAAAAGACTGCTGTAACTGCTGATGAGAAAACAAAAAAAAGTATTTAGCAGTTTATATTTACTAATATAATTGCATTTCCATGTTGTGCGTACTGTGGGAGACCAGATAGAGTGAATGCGCGGTCCGGGGAGACCAGATAGAGTGAATGCGCGGTCCGGGGAGACCAGATAGAGTGAATGCGCGGTCCGGGGAGACCAGATAGAGTGAATGCGCGGTCCGGGGAGACCAGATAGAGTGAATGCGCGGTCCGGGGAGACCAGATAGAGTGAATGCGCGGTCCGGGGAGACCAGATAGAGTGAATGCGGGGTGCCGGGGAGACCAGATAGAGTGAATGCAGGGTCCGGGGAGACCAGATAGAGTGAATGCAGGGTCCGGGGAGACCAGATAGAGTGAATGCGGGGTCCGGGGAGACCAGATAGAGTGAATGCGGGGTCCGGGGGGGAGACCAGATATAGTGAATGCGGGGTCCGGGGCGCAGTAACACTTTAACCAGAGAAGAGCAGAGCTGGCACACACTTGCACCATTAACAACCATTAATAGCTGTTTATTTTAAGGGGTCGGAATCACATAGTGTCCTGCTATTCACCTTGGATGCATTGTGCTAACTGTTAATGCAACACATTTCAAATTCATAGCATGTTTTAGAAGCGCTGCAGTGTGAAAGCAGCCTAATCCAAAGCGAACCGGACTACCTTTTTGCAGCAAAACTGGAAATCTGTCATAACCTGCAATCTCCAGTGGAGGGAAGACCGAGGGAACATTCATTAAGGTGATTATTTTGACTACAACAATTTTTCTGCATCTGTCTACTTTTCACCAGTTTCCTTTTACGCTGCAATTCAGCTCTTAACCTTCAACTCTACAAAACTAAAGATAAAGTAGGCACAACCTTCCTTCCATTCTGTACAATTAGAGAAATCAGGCAGAATTCGGTTGCAAACTGGTGTGAAATAAAAAGTGATGACTTTGCCAAGCTTTCCAATAGGCCATTAATGTGTGATAAACCGCAGAGCATGCCTCTACTTGCAGCAAACACTGGAAGGGTAAATATTTGTATACGCGGTTGTTGTTCAATCCAAGTATATCTGGATGTAGAACAACCATTACAAGTATTCATTCTAGCTGTAAAGTAGGTCATGAAAGCTGGACGTGTGCTTTTATCAGAAGCAGGTTTACTGCAACATAAAATGTGCAACAAGTACAAAATGTTCAGGTATTTTCAACACTTCATAAAACAGAACTCTAGAACAAGCCAATATAAAACTAGTTTTGACATACACCTAGCACATATACATCAAACACCTCATATTGGCGCCGTTATCACCTGCACAGCAGTACAGTCAGTCAATTAGACTGTCGCGGTTCACCTAAGGGCTGTTCACACCAGCATCATGCATTACCACACAGCTCTTGGGGTGCGATGTGAAGGCAGCATGATGCCAACGCACTGTAAAAAGAACATTTCCACAGCTAGATTTTTTGTTAGAAGGTTATTGAAATGTCAGTGTGACATTTCCTTCAGTTCTGTTGTCTGAAGTGTGGCATCAGAAGGGATTTTTTTCAGCAGGAAGGCAGTTCCAGCACCTCCACCACTGAATGTATGTAATGGCAAGTGGTGCTGGGGTGTGCTGGAGGGTCTATTGATGCTGCCGATCTATTGTCCCTGGAGGGGGATCTATTTTTGCATGGTGGTCATTACTGGGAGGTCAATTGCTGCTGGAAGGGATCTACTGTTGAGGGTAGATCTGTTGTTGGGGTGGTATTCTGTTGTGGGGATCCATTGTTGCTGGGGGAAATCTACTATTGCTGGAGTGGGGGCTATTGTTGCTGGCTGCAGGAGATCCATTTTACTGCTTTTCTTGGAATCATTAAATGGCATACAAAAGGATACTTGGCTCTATATTCTGTAAAAGGAGCAGTGTGGGGAGTGGGGGTAGGGGTAAAAACATGTTGTGTGTACTGTGGGAGACCAGATATAGTGAATGCTGGGTCTTGGGTTTAGTAACACTAAGTAACTCCCAAAGCTTGGCTGAAAAACTCCAATTCTGTGTCCAGGTCTTTCTGGAGACCTGGAGGCCGTGTGCAGGTATGTACACTTATAGGTGATGCCTGGCCATAGCTCAAGGATCCTATCAGGAGACAGGCGTAGGCTCTTGCTACAAGAGATACTCCACTTGAGAGACCGCGGTGCATGCTGGAGGAGAGATTGTGTGTCCATAGTACTAGGAAGGTCTGGAGGTCTCACATGAGTCTCCGGGGTGCCAGGAGAAGCCCTAAGAGGGCCAAGAAGTGGGCCTGTGTAGCCGGGTGAGTTGGTCTGAGGGACCAGTTAAAAGCAGTAACACTGCTGAAGAGATCCAGCTGGCTTAGCATTCTTCTATTACCGGTTTTGATCATGGAAAGCCCAAGTAGGCAATTTTCCATTGAGCTTTTACTTTTGTGTTTAATAAAAGCGGGCCAACAATCCCAAAAGTAAAGTTTGGAAAAAAATGCTACTACCACTGAGCTAATAATTGTAGGGTGTTAGTACCCTTGTCATGTTTTGTGAAAAGGCAAACCTACACTTTGGGGCAGATTTAATAAAAAGACAGACTGCGCACTGTGTAAGTGCAGCTACACTCATACTCCCCAGAGATTAGTGAAGGTGGTGACGCTCTGCTGATTTCTATCATCCAATCATGTACAAGCAAAAAAGGTTTCTTATTTTCCTTACACCCGATTGGTTATTCTTTACAATGTGAAGCTTCACCACCATTCACTAAGCTCTGGGGAAAAAGAAGTGCAACTGCAAAGTGCACAGTCCATTTGCCTTTAGTAAATCAACCTTTTTAAATTAATCTGGTAATACTCCAAATAACACTTCCTTGTCCCCGAGTGTCTACCTACACTTGCTCCACTGTATCCATGGAGGTAGCCAGAGTTGTTACTAGGAATGCACCGATATATCGGCCGCCGAAAATTATCGGTCAAAAATAGGCTTATCTACACTTTATCAATTGAAAAAAACAAAACAAAAAAAACAAAGTGCTGATAATGTGATGCTGCGTCCCATAGACTCCAATGCAAAAATCGCATTAAAGCTACCAATGCAAAAAAAAAAAAAAAAAAAAAAAAAAAAAAAACCAAAACCATCAGTACAGTACATTTAATCAAATTAAAAAAAAAAAAAAAAAAAAAAAAAAAAAAAAAAAAAACCACGATGTTTCAGGTTGTTGGCAAGTGAATCCTGTATTTTTGGTTTCGGCACCAAAATTTTACTTTTTGTGTACTACTAGTGGTTACCCAGACTGGACTACAAGCATGTCTACCTTTGCTCATCTCCATTACATAATGGGTTGATGGCACTAGTACTGTACAAAAGCCTAACATTGTTCATGTATTCTTTTGGGGACAGACACTGCATTTCTGGCAAGATCAATAGGCATTTTCTGTACCGGCTGAAAATGTGGTGTTGAAGGTGTGGCTGTATTAGTTTTTTTTCAGGCGAATGACTGGTTAAAAACGGCATTATGTAAAATGTTTGCACCTAAGTTCAGGTATCATTCTGTTTACAAAATGAAACTCATTAGCTCACTTAGGCTACATGCGTCCCAGGTGTTCAGCCAACTGCCATTGTTTTTGGGCACCTGGGAGGCACAGTGTACAGTCCTGCTGCCAGCAGCCTGCCAATATTTATATATGCAATCAAGGACGTATGCACCAAACACAGGAATTCTGCATTCCGTGCAAACGGTCCCAATGTGAGTACAACTCGGTATGGCTAGACAGTTCACCCGTGGCTCCTGGAATTTTTCAGGCATATGACACACATGGGACTTACACAGCACAATGCAGAAAACCACATAACCAAAAACAAAGCAAAAAGATTGTAAACAAGAAACTCAGCTGCTTCCTCAAATTTCTGAAAAACATTTTGCATGTGTAAAACTGATGTGTGCTTTCATGCACAAGTGAACACAGGTGGTCCTATAATATGCAGCGTCTTGTACAAACCAACAGTACACAATATGACGTACAACAATGGACAGGCAAATGAATGCAGAATTTAGGAGACAACCAATTCAATCTATTGGGCAAATAGGCGGACTTTTAGGCACAAAGAAAAATTTGGTCCT